GCTGCTGCTGCTGCTGCTGCCAGCTCTGTTAGCACAAGTTTCAGCCGTTCCAAGGGTGGATTTGCCTTGTGTCACATGGTCCTGGGGAATTTGCTCTGGCGACTGTGCACCTGCCAATGCGGCCAATGTCTTGGTTTTCTGACAAACCCTGCAGGCTCCTGACGCTGCCCAATGGAGAGCGCATCCAATTTGGCTCAAACGTCAATTTCGTTTTCGAGTGTCACAGCTTGGCGTTTGCATCACCTGCCACAGTGTCAAGGTGCGAGCAACCGGTCACATGCATGGTTTGCTCGGAATGGGTATTGCCAGTTTTCTGCTTTGGCTGCTGTTTAGGAGCTGACTGTTGCTGAACCACCTTGACTTCAGTGGCAACGAGACTGCTGAATAAAATCAGCGCCCACCCACCTACGCTAACCTCGGACAACCTTGGACAGGTGTGGCATGATATACTTGAGCGAGGAGGCCGTGGGCTGGAGGGAGCAGCTGCGGCGCTGGATGGCCTGTCACCCTGGGGCAGATCCCACAGGCGAGGGGGACCTTGCTGCAGCAGCCAGCTGTCAGTGGCCCAGGATGCAGATGCAGCCCGGGCGTTGCAGCCACGCTGCAAATCTGGGCAGCAGCAGCGCTTGTACACAAGGCCACACCTCTTGCCACCGCCATTCACTGTCTCTAGCGGCCCCAACCCTGCTTGTGCAATGTGAATATGACATCATCATGCACTCACCTGCATGCTCTTGCGCACAGGTCAGCTCAAGGCGTGGATGGCAGACCTGTTGCCCAGATCCATTGATTGGGCGCTCGCCCGGCCCCGCCCCGCCGAGCCGACGCGAGCCGGGCTGCTAGCCAGCGCCTTTTCCCACCTCGCGCCAGGCGGCGGCGGCAGCGGCGACGGCGGCGTCCGCTCCAAGGGCGAGGCGGCAGCGGCGCTGGCGCGGGGGCTTGGGGCGCATATGGCGCCGGCGACGCGCAGGGAGTTTGCTACTGAGCTCGCCAGGTGTGCTTGAGCTTGAATCAAAGCGCTGCGGCAGCCGCTTTGCTTGTTCTCAGATGCCCCTGCTGCAATCGCGTTCCCCAGCTGTCTTTACCAGGGCGCTAATAGTCTGCGTTGCTGGTCCTCCTCCTGCTGCTGACAGGTGGAGCGGAGAGGCGAGCGGCCCGTTGCTGGACGTGGCACCCTCAGAAGACCCCCTAGACACCTTGGATGCGGATGATCTGTCCTCCACAGCCCTGCAGCGCCTGCAGCAGCTGCCTTCCATGCTAGATCAGGGGCCCGAAGGGGCCGCGCCGGGCAGCGGCGCCGTGTACGCGGGCGGCGGCCTGGTGATGACCGACAGCGCGCGGCAGCTGCTGGCGCTGGTGGCGCCGTGGCTCAGGGACTCCGAGCCCTTTCTCCTGGTGAATCCGTATATTTGGCTGCGGTCAGGGGCTTTGTTTGCTGCCTGGTGTCTGCGCACAGGCACAAATGGTGGCTGCTCGTGAGGAGGGCGTATTTTTGGGGTCTGTAGGGGGGAGGCAAGAAGTCGTGACTGGTGTGTCCGCCTGCCCGGCCTGCAACCCAGGTCGGCCCGGAGGGTTGCGGCAAGGCGACGGCGCTGCGACACTGCTTCGCGCGCCTACGGCGCCGCGGGGGCGTAGCGGTGGCAGAGGTACACTGCAGCGCGGCCACGGGGGCTGCGCAGGTCATCGACAAGCTCGTGCAGGTGAGGGTGACACGGCGGGGGGTGCTGACACGCGGTGACATCACAGTGGCACCTTGAAATCTCTGCATGGCTTTAGAGGGGGCTCTTGGTGCAGGATCACAAGCACTGTCAAATGCGAGATGTTTCCGTGGGTTCTAGAGAAGTTGCACGGCAACAAAAGCCTCACATGCGCCGCCGCAGGTTTGCGGCAAACCCGTGACGACCGCCACGGGGCGCGTGCTGCGGGCCGAGACCGGGCGGGTCATCCTCCTGCTGAAGGACATCAACTTGCCTAGGTGTGGCGCAACGGGTGACCTAGTGATCTGGCCGACACTCGACCGTCGGGAATCGCAACAACAGCAGAAGTGCCCTTGCCGCTGCTGCTACCGCTGCCTACCTGATCGCAAACGTATCCTTGCTTTCCTGCCTGACTGATGACCAGGCCGGACAAGTATGACACCATGCAGCTGGCAGAGCTGCTGCAGCAGCTGCTGGCGCACGGAGGTTACTATGATGAGGGCCTCGAGTTTGTGCGCCTTGAGAGGGTGCAGGTGCGCCCCATCCAATGAAACCCGGAACCCTGGGTGTGAGGCAACACTGCTATCCAGGGGAACTCCACTTCAAGCATTGTACTCGAGATTAGACAGGAGGTTTTGGGCATGGACGCACGCATTCATGATTCACACAGACTTCATTTGATGCCTTGCACATTCGCATGGCTTTGATTAGCAGCCGGCTTGACAACACATCCCTGGGCGCGCGCAGGTTGTGGGCATGCTGGTGCCCGGCAGCGCCGGCCGTGCCCCGCTGAGCGCCCGCCTGCTGTCCCGGCTGCGGCTGGCGGCGGTGGGGGCCCCTGATGCTGCCGAGCTGGAGGCGGTCTGTACGCACATATTTAGAGAGGTGTGTTGTGGGGCCTGTGTCCTGCGGGGCATAGGACGTCACGAAAGCATGACAAAGTGAAGTCTGTGAGCCGAAATTTATTGCGCAGACGTCGTCGTTGCTCTGTTCTATGTCGTGCATCCCAAGGTTGCCAGCGTCCATTGACTTGTGACGGCCGTAAAAGCGGCGCTCGTGCTCTAGGACTGAAATCCTCCCATGGTTACTAATCATCGTCACCAGACATTTGATGGTGGTGACGCCAGCGGCGGCGTCGCGAGCGCCGCCCAGCGCAAGGCGCGCGCGGCCGTCGCCGCGCAGGCGCCCGCAGTGGCCGCCGCCATGGCGTCGCTCTACAGCCAACTCCTGGACAGCTGCGATTCTGGAGCCGGGGAAGGCGGGGAGGCGGCACACGGGGTGTGGCAGATCACCCCAAGGGACCTGTCAATTCTCATTAGAGGCCTGGCAAGGTGGATTTTGAGCACGGCTCCTGCTGTTTGGTGGAGTGCCAATCAGGCGACTGGCCGCCTTGTGACGGACCTGGCAAAAACAGCAAGTCTGAGTCATCGATGGGGCAGAACCAGGGGCAGGCGCCCCTCTGCTAAACATCCAAATGCAAGTTTCTCCTCCTCATGCGCGATCCCCCAGGTATGACTTTTCGGAGACGCCTCTCCCCCAAGCCCTTGCACATGAGGCCCGCCGCGTCTTCGGCGACCGCCTGCGCGGCGCGCCGGCCGCGACCGCCGCCTTCGAGCGCGCTTTCCTGGCGGCGCTCGAGCGGTCGGGGCTGAAGGGCGTCGCGGGGGCGGCCGGGGGCGCGGGGGCCAAGGAATACTACACCACCCTCGGCACGCCGGCCGAGGAGCGGCTCAGGGCGGCAGCAGCTGGTGAGGGGCCAAAGGGGTGACCGGGATGCCCGCAGCGACTGGCAACGATCCAAATGCCTGCCTGCTTCCTCAATTGTCGTAATCTGATGCTGGTAAGCAGAACAAGAGCCGCTCCTCAATCCCCTATAGGGTCGGCCCTCCCCCTGGCGCGCCTGCCTGCCGGCGCCTTCACGGACGTCGTGCGCGGCGCCCTCAAGTCCTTTGAGCGGGAGGTCAAGGAGCTTGGGCTGCTGCTGGGGCCGGAGGTGAGTGTTTATATCTCGATCATGGCGTGTGCACATAAAGCTCCCTGGGCCATCAAGCAGCTGAGAAAGGAGGCAGGGTGGAGGCACAGGGGCGGTGTTCCCTTGAAGGAAGGCTACGTGGACGACTGCATTAGCCGCTTCGGGCAGCTTGCTGAGGAGTGGTGTGCTCGCATATTGCGTGATCGCACGGGACATTTGGCCCTGTTTGCACAGGGATGGTGGCAGGTCAATATGTACAGCACAGGCGAGGGTTTGTGTGGGCGCCACCGACAGCCAAAATCTCATCCCTTAAACTACTGGTATTCACACACCCTAGGCTCCGCCGCAACATCCTTGCAAAGCTCTTTCCTGCAACCAACCCCTCCCCCACCACCACCCCTACCCCCGCCTCAGGCCCTGGAGCGCATCAGTGCCCTTGACCGCGCCCTGTCAGACCCGCCCCGTGGCGCCGCGCCCGGCGGCGTCGTGATCTGCGGCGCGGGCGGCAGCGGGCGGCGCGGCCTGGCGCGGCTGGTCGCGCACGCGCACGGGCTGGAGCTGTGGACGCCGCGGATGGGGCGGTGCGTTGGGGCTTCCGTCCCTCTCTTGTCCCTGACCCGGAGGGAAAATCCGTCTGCATTAGCGGCTGAAGGTTGACAAACGCCACCTTTGTGAAGCGCCCCGTCCACCATCCCCATGTGCCGCAACGTGTTGTGGCATCCCATCGTCCTTTGTTGGTGTCCAATTTTTGGCAGCACTTGGGCCTGATACAGCAGCTAAGAGAAAGGGTCTGATCAGCCACCAATGCAACCATTTCTGAACGTCCCCTTGCAGGGGCTACACGCCCCGCAGCTTCAGGGCGGACCTGCGGGAGCTGCTGAGAAGCTGCGGCGGCCCCGAGGGGCGGCGGCGGCTGATGCTGCTGGAAGACCATCAGCTTGGGGATGCGGGTGCGTGGGTGACCGACCCTCAAGGAGATGTGTTGTCGGGGCTGATACGGACGACGCACTGGTGGATTGGTCGCGGTAGACAGCCGGTCAGCTGCCTGGCTTACAGTACAGATTCCGGTCGCATGGCAGTGCTGCAGAGAGCGGTTATGCGCGGGAGGCGATGAGGTGCTTGCAGCTCTGTAATGATGTGCGGTGCTCGCTTTCGGCGCTGCCTGCCCTCCACCAGTGGCCAGCGGCCCAGCTTACGTTGCACAATTACCTGTCCCCAATCCGCGCTCATATCTGCAAACCACGTGTTTCCTCTCCAATTCGGCCCCAGGCATCCTTGAGCTGGTGAACAGCTTGCTGGCCGGTGGCGAGGTGCCGGGCCTCTGGTCAAACGACGAGTTGACCAAGGAGGTCGCGCCCCTGGAGTCCGCCCGCGACGCGGATGCCAATTGGCGTGGCCCGCCGGGCGCGGCGGGGCTGTACGCCTATTTCCTACACAGGATCAAGGTGGGCCTCCCTGGCGATCTGGCAACCCCTGTTTGAAACATATCACCTTCTTTTATGCTGCCGCGTGGTCTTGAACGGCCTCGTGAGACGCGGCACGGCATCAACTACCAGCCTCATGCGCACGGCATCATCAACCCTCCAGCTCCACCTCCGTACTATCCAATATCCCTCTCAAAAATAAATCCCCAGTAGCCAATCATCATTTGACTGTGCTGCCCCAACCACGCCCCGCACCACCCACACACCTGTTGCAGCTGAACCTGCGCATCGTCGTTTGCCTGGACACCGGCCGCCCTGAGCTGCTGGCATCGCGCCTGGCCGCAAACCCCGCGCTGCAGAGCTGCTGCGTGGGCATGGCGTGGCCCGGCTGGGGGGACGACACCCTGACGGCAATGGCCAAGGCGCGGCTCGAGGTGCGGGCGCAGCTTATGGCACCGCCTGTTTGCGGCAGGGTAGTAAGTGTCGCACCAACGTGACCGGGCATCAGGCTCTCACCAGCTCACCTGTCGTAGCATAATTACCAGCCCACGATGACGGCTGTCAATGCTCTGCTTCGCAGGCGTTCCTGACCGTTCAAGGCGCCCAGGCCGAAGACGACGGTGCCGCAGCCATTCGAGACGCCGCCGCAACGAAGGCTGTCGCCCTCCACTCGAGCGCCGCGCGCCGCCTCGGCGCCGCACCGCGCCACTTCCCTGCGCTGCTGGCGCAGTACGCCACGATATTCACTGGAAAACGGAAGCAGCTCACCGAGCAGCAGGCGTTTCTGCAGGTGCGCGTGTGGTACAGCTCAGCAAATTCACGGACGTGCATGCGGCTTCTTCCTTGCTGTGCAGGCAGATGGGGGATAATCTTCTCGCAGTTGTCCTGCCACAAAGTGCAGCGGGATGCCGAGGCTTCGGGAGCCCCTCTCGCCCGCGCCAGCGGCCAAGCAGGTCCACACGCGTGTTCCCTCTGAAAACCCAACCCAGGGTGGCCTGTCCAAGCTCTCCGAGGCGGCGTCCAAGGTTGACGACCTGGGCCGCCAGGCGCAGTCGCAGAGGGCCCTGCTCACGACCAAGCAGCAGGAGGCGGACTCTGCGCTCTCACACATCCAGGCAAGTGCGGGTGGGGGGGGATGGATTGGTGCCCCGCCTTTGCCACTGATGGCCTGGCATCGATGAATGGCGCAGTGCTATTGATTTGAAATGAACCGCGTGCTTCTTTCCCTGGGCTTGCGCACGGCTTAGGTGGCAGCCAGCAAGGCGGGCGTCCTCTCAGTCAAGGTTATCATATCACCAGAGCCACGAGCGCTCGTTCCAATCTATAAACGAAGCGTCCTGCAACAGACTGAGTCCTCCTGTGGAGCCTCTGGATGACGCTGCACCCTCAACGTGCATCCGAACACCGCACCCTGACCGCAGTCCTCCATGGAGACGGCCGCAGAGCGGCGCCGCGAGGTGGAGGTGCTGCGGCGCCAGCTGGCACAAGATGAGGGCGCGCTGCAGGACCGGAGGGGTGGGTGATGCGATCGGAGCCGGGCTGACAGGGGCAGTCCGGCCTGAAACCCGGTGGGGCCAGGGATATAATGGGCCAGAGTGGGGCCATGGATGAGAAACGAGCCTGTTTGTTCACCCATCACATTGGTCACGACATGTGCATTATTAGGTTAATACATTTCTGATCTGACTTGCTTCACCTTCAAGACTGCGACCTGACCGCTCCCCACCATCTGCAGGTCGTGTTGAAACCGAGCTGGCAGACGTGCAGCCACTCCTTGATGCAGCGCGCGCCGCGGTGGGCGGCATCAAATCTGAGCACCTGTCGGAGATCCGCTCCCTGCGCATGGCACCAGATGCAATAAGGTGGGCGCATGCGTTGGCAGCAGCTCAGGTCAATCGCCGCGCTCCAACATCAAAGACAATTTTGCTGCTGGTATAGGAGAGTGATTCGTGGGTAAAATCACAGCGCCGCCACAATCACAGTAGAGGGTTTGATGGGCACTGCTTGATGAGCAACACCCCCCGTTTCTGTGCCTGGCGCCAGGGATGTCCTGGAGGGCGTGCTGCTGCTGATGGGCCAGGAGGACACGAGCTGGGCGGCGATGCGGTCGTTCCTGGGGCGCAGGAGTGTGAAAGAGGACATCATCAACTACGACGCGAGACGGTGGGGACGCGTGCGCTCGAATGCGCGTGCATGTGGCTGTGTTCGTGTTCGTGTGTGTGCGTGTGTGCACGCGCGCGCGCACGTGTGCGTGAGTGTCTGTGTGTGTGTAATTACGGGAGTGTTCGTGCTTGCATGCATACTTGAGTGTTGGTGCACTGATGCGCCCTGTTGTGTGTGTTGATGCGGGTTCAGAGATGAGGGGTTGCGTGTGCCCGGCATTTATCTGGTTGGCATTCACCTGGGCAGGCGCGGGGTGCTCAACGTCCAAGTGTGGGTCCATACGCTTGCTCATTGTGGAGAGAGGGCGGAGAGACCCACACGTGCACTAGAGAGTGTGTGCATGCTTGAGGGGATGCAGATGTCAGAGTGCGCTTTTCTGCTTGCTTGTCTGTGACCGCAGTGGCCTGCGGTCATAACCTGTGCCTACTCTTACTGCTACAAACACGCACATCCTGTATATCCTGCCTTCCTCCGTTCCCCACATTTCCAGGATATCTCCCGCCATGCGGTCCAAGGTTGACAAGCTCCTCAAGGCCAAGGGCCAGTCGTTTGAGAGAGAGGTGGGCAGCGTGCCATGTACGCACAGGGCCTGCGATGATGCCCAAGCGCCCAATTACGGGCTTGCCTCGCACACCTCTCTCACTGCCGTTTGAGCGAGAAGTGGGGCAGTGTGACGTGTTTGTGCTCAATCACCTGCAAGTGGCCCTTGCATGAGCCATGAGTCATCGTCAGGCATGTCGCCAGCCCCAGTGCACACAACGATCAACCCTGCCCCCTTAACCCTGCAGGTCATCTACCGCGCCAGCCAGGCCGCCGGCCCCATGGCCGGGTGGGTCAAGGCCAACATTGCGTACGCAGCAGTCATGGACAAAGTGAGTCAGGGCCTGGGTGTCGGACTCACAAGGAGGCTGGGGCCGCTCCGCCAAGTCAGACCTGTCACCGCCTGGTTGTATCAGTGCACCAACACAGGTTTGCTGATTTGTTGCTGGCCCTACAAATGTATAGCTCTGCAAGCCTACAGGTCCCAGATACATTGCCTTCTTGTGGCCCCTGCCGCCAACCACTATACGGCCTGCCGCCAAACACCCCACGCAGGTGGCACCCCTGCAGGCTGAGCTTGACGCCGTGATGGCTGGCCTAGCTGATAGCACCGCGCGGCTGGGGCAGTGCGAAGGGGAGCTAGGGCAGCTCGATGATCAGGTGAGGGCTTGCTGACTTACCTGGTGTGACCCTGTGGCTGCCCCTGCCATCGATGATCAGTGAATCCTTTGCTCATGTCAGTTGCAGCCACCTTGAAGTTCTTTGTGTGTCACCTTCAACCGCCCAAACTCGTGTCCTGCCGCCCACAGATTTACCCATTAGCTCCCCAAAAAGGGCGGCCACTTGCAAGTGACGATTAACACAATTGCACCTGCCAACCACCATCCACTAGGTCGCACGCCTCAAAGTGGATTTCCAGCTTCGAGTGCGCGAGGCTGAGACGCTCAGGCTCCAGCTCTCAAAGGCGGAGGAGACACTCTCAGCTGCTTCGGGTGCGCCTGGCGTGCACCGCTTGGCGTGTCACAAGTACAATGCAGGCATCCATTCTGGGGGCACCAAATCGCCAGACATGGGCAGTATCACCGCCCCGAACGTTGCGCACGCGCCTGTTACCCGTCGCGAATACGGCACTAAAGACCTTGCCGCTCGTGGCCGCTGCGCCGCCGCGGCTGCCGCCCGCAGGCCTGCTGGATAAGCTGTCTGGGGAGCGCGGCCGCTGGGCCTCCCAGCTGTCGTCGCTGGCGTCCGGCCTGGCTGCGCTGCCGCTCGAGGCGCTGCTGGCGGCCGCGGGCGTGGTGCACCTCAGCGGCCAACCGGAGGATGTCCGTGCGGCCGTGTCGGCCGAGTGGGCAAGGTGAGCTGGAAGTTAAGCGCGCTCGTACCACATACCCTGAATGCAGGGCCAAGGGCGCGCCTCGCAAGGCCAACAACCGCTTTGGCCGCCGGCTGGATGTAAAAGCTTGTGAGGCAGGGACTTTACAGAGGGCAAAAGCAAGACACTTGGATCATGCACCAACCACCATTCCCCTCAAGCACACGCCATCCGCATCTCTTGGGCATTCAACATCACTCTGTTTGCCGTGCCCCCATCACAGGCTGCTGGGGCTCCAACCCGGCTTCAGCACGACCAAGTTCCTGCATTCAGAGGCCGAGGGCCTTGCCTGGCAGTCCAGGGGGCTCCCAGGCGATGAGCTGTCGCTGCACAACGGCGCAGCCATTCTTGCTGCCGTTGGGGCGCCGCTGATCGTGGACCCGTCCTGCAGGGTAGGTCTGGGCCCAGGCCGCGACCACACGAACACGCACGCGCTCGCCCCGTGCAGAAACCTGCCTCGACTGCACAACACAAACACAGCAACCGCCGCCAGCAAGGACCGTTGCAGCAAGTCGCCACTGATTAATTTGTGAGTGAGCGAATTCCTTGCCCGCTGTATACCCCTGAATGACACTGCCCAGGCCGTCGAGTGGCTCAGGGCGCAGCTGGCGGCCGGCGGCGCCGCCCCAGAGGTGGTGCAGCTGCAGGACCCACGGTTCGCCACCACCCTCGAGCTGGCGGTCAGATTCGGCAAGGTGCTCGGGCGGGGCGGGGCCTTGCCACAGTGCAGGTTTGGGTTTTGGCACGATGGCTCGAACCACCTGCTCGTGCCACAACTTTTGAATGGCGGTTTGCAAGGATCAGCACAAGAATGTGTGCGGACCAAGTCATTGATTATGCTTCCCAAACGCAGGCCCTCATTGTGACCGAATTTGATGGGCTTGAGCCGCTGCTGTACCCGCTGCTGAGGCGCGACCTGTCACGCTCGGGGCCCCGGGCGGTCGTGGCCATAGGTGAGGCGGTTGCGACTCTCACATTGTTGAAGCTGACAGTGTTGGCGGCTCGACACCCGGGTCTTTCCGGTCAGTCGGCGGCCGAGCTTGCGTGCGAGATAAGCTAGGCAAGAGGCAGAGTCGTTGGGGGCTGGTGCACGTTGGAGCAAAGCATGCGGCGCTGTGCGTTCCCACGCGGCTGTGCGCAGGCGACAAGCTCGTGGATTGGAACGACTCATTCCGCCTGTTCCTCGTCAGCCGCAGCCCTGCCGCGCTGGCCGAGCTGCCGCCAGACGCGGCGCCGCTGGTGACCGTCGCGAACTTCACGGTCACGCGCGGCGGCCTGGAGGGTGAGTCACGGAGTATTGCCCCACGCTGTTTGCGAATCCTCCACTGCAGCAGTTGGCGGTTGCTGCCACGGCGTGCGGGCGTCCTGCAGACCGTCACCACCCACTTGCCGGGTGCGTGCACCATGGAACCTGTCTCTCCCAAACCAAACTCCAGGCCAGCTGCTAGGCATGGTGTTGAAAAGCGAGCGGCCCGAGCTGGAGGCGCAAAAGGCTGCGCTGACAGGGCAGGTGAGGTGCTAAAAAAGCAGTCGACGCTCCAACTGCCGGTTGCAGTGGTAGGTGCGCTGCGATGCTCGCGCACCCACACCCTCTCCAACCCACACCCACCTCGTTCACCAATCCAGTTGCAAGGTCATGCACACAGCTGAGAGTGTACCACAAAACACATCCCAATTACCCTTGACAGGAGGCGTCCTTGAAAGTGGAGCTGGCAGCCCTCGAGAAGCAGCTGCTGCAGGCCCTTGCCTCCAGCAGGTGTGAATAAGGCTGAGTACTGGCTTTGATCCCGCTGAGTATTGGCTTTGATCTGCGATGTGGCCATCAAGCGGCTGCCGATCTGAGTTTAACATGCAGGCTCACCATCCAGGCTGCTTTATGCCGCCGTTCCGTGTGTTGCGCTGACGTGTGCAACAGCCCTTCATGTGCCTGCACGCTCCTTCCCATCACTCTATTCAACCTCAAAGTGCCGACCTCATTACATACCGCCATTCCCTAGCGGCAACATCCTGGAGGACTCTGCCCTGCTGACGTCACTTGGAGAGGCCAAGGCCAAGGCCTCCAACGCGGCCGCCGCGCTGGCCGAGGGGGAGCGCCTGTCGGCGGCGCTTGACAGCCAGCGTGATGGTGGGTGGTGAACCTGCTGCACCCTGCCCCGCTGGTGTTCCCACCTGCAAGTGCCGCCTGTGCATACCCCGCCCCACTTTGATGGGGCTTTGGCCGCAGCACCTATTTTCTCATCCCTAGGGTACACATTTCCCTTCCTCACGGCCCGCTCACCCTCCTCATGCCATTGGCTAATCATCCCAACCCGTGCCACCCAAACCGGCACCGCCGCAGTGTACCGTCCCCTGGCGTCCCGCGGCGCCTCGCTGTACTTCGCCCTCTGCGATATGCCGGACATCGACCCGATGTACCGCTTCGGACTGGGAAGCTTCATGCGGCTGTTTGGGGAGGCGCTGGCGGGCGCTGATGTGGCGACAGGTCGGGTTCACCCACTGACCCAGCGGGCGCTCGCGCTCGTGGCTTTGATCAGGGCTGGCGTGCTGTAATATGTGCAATCTGGCTGTGAGTTGCTGCTGATTATCCTATCCCTGAAGCATTGACACTTTTCCATGCCTTCACACCTCGGTGGACTTTGTGGGTGCACTATAAGTTTACCTGTCACCACAATTAATGCTGAATACACCCCGCAGGCGCCGGCGCAGCGGACGCCGGCGATGTTGCCGCGCGCACCTCATTCTTGGAACACAGCCTCGTGTGCCTGCTGCACGCGACAGTCTGCCGCGCGCTGCTCAACCGCCACCGCCTGCCGGCGCTGCTGCACGTCGCGCGCGCGCTGCGGCCCGAGGCGTTCCCCAAGGACGAGTGGCAGATGTTCACGGGCCGCGGCGCGGCGGCC